GTCGAAATACGAGTAAAAAGTAAAAAGTTCTCAATACAATCTTCTTGATTGAATGATTTGTCCATAAAAAATTTTACAATACGGTTATCAAGTTGAGCTCTGCTTTGCTGATAAACATTTTATTATCATTCCAATTATATGTATGTACTGGAAAACATTGAAGGTCAATAAATTACGAGGATAACTGAGAAGTTCTCGGCCTGAGAATCAGCGAAAAGGATCAGGGCCTGTACGCGGAGGTTTCGGTCCTTGAAAATAACAAATATTTTAATATATTAGATCATATTTATTTTAAACTTTCATTCACATTGTCCTTTTTATTTCGGTGGTTGGTATTGTAATAGCAAAAATTTAACAGTATCTTTACACGCTCCAAACCCCAGATGTTTTCGATACGCGTCTGCTTCTATCTGGGCTCAGCGCCCGACGTAAAGGTCTGCTTGATTGTTCTATATGTACTGCAGCAGTACTTCAGTGGGCGCTGCTGCGCAGTGTTGCCAGGTGTAGTTGATCAGTTTTGGGTAGATTTATGCAATTTTTTTCGGTAAATTTCGGTAGACAAACAGCAAAAACTTTCCGGCGATTGAAAATTGAAGAGGGGGCCACCTTACTCTAGCTCCACTCGGCTTTGAAAGTTGAAGATTGAAGGAGGTGCATCGAATGCTGAAATGCAGCTATTTAAAAAATTGAACGCAGGGTAGCACTAAATCGAAAATTAAGGAGGGGGGTTTCAAAGTGTTCTATTCTTCTGTTTCGTTGAATTATATCAGAAATATACTATTCAAGAATTTGAGAATGTTTTCGGTAAGTTTCACGTTAAAATCTGTAGTTCGGTAGATCAAGACTAAAATCGGTAGATCTACCGAAACAACTGGATTCACAGAACGTTAAGGAGCTTGGACTCAAAGCCACACTCAACTTTGCTGGAATGGCGAGACTTAAAAGGTCTAATAAATGTCGAGGTGCACAAAGGCCCGTCTAAGCAGTGGCCGGTATGCATCTAATTTCATGATACATTCATTCATTCACCGAAACATTGGTAGATCTGGTAACAGTGTTGCCCCGTCTAACTACTACTACCCGTAGGGCAGGCAAAGAATGTATATGGAATGATTCTATGAGCCTGTTTGACTGACTTGATCCGTTTAATTTTTCTATTATACATGATCGTAACTTTTTTTTTCTCAAAGGGCTCAACTTGCACCCAACTTAATCCTTTATGAACTGATGATGCAGTTGCATAAGAAGTGCAAAGTCGACCGACTTGACGCCATTTTTTAAATGCACAAATTTCACAAATTTGACATTTTTGTCCAAAATTCGTCCAGTTTGCGATATATAACTCGGTCATTATTGAAATCTTACTAATTTTTATAATCCAAATCTAAAACGTTTTTAAATTAGGTAATTAACAAATAAATGGCATTAAGTTTTTCTAAGTTAAGCCAAAACTTGTAGTCAGCAAGTAAGTAAGTTTCATTAAATTAAATATTTAAAACACGCATGACAACAGCGCGTCGGTCATTCATCACTCTTATCGAACCGGCAATCGATCGCAAACGGTAACAGTGGTTAGTTATTATTCGCGTACGTCGTCGTTTTTATTTACAATCAAGAGTTCGCCGACATGTTGTTAGTTTACGGTGAAGCTCGTCAGAATTCAAATCTTGCAGCTCAAATATATCGCGACAGATTTCGCCAACGGGTACACCCAGACAAAAGGACATTTGTGCAAGTGTACCAAAGACTTCGAGATACAGAAAGTGGTCAGCCCACTAATATTCGCACTCGTGAAAGACAGGTTACTGTAGAGCAGGAGGAACAAATTTTAAATATCGTGGAAATCAATGCAGATATCAGCACTCGGGAATTACGCCGCCGCGTAGGACTATCGCATACCATATTCCACCGACGGACGAATGTACTTTTACGCGAGACGGGATATTAAATTACCATAATATTCACATGTGGGCCCAAGAAAATCCTCATACCATTCGTGAAGGTCATTTCCAACAAAGTTTTAAAATAAATATTTGGGCGAATATTCTTGACGATCAGGTAATTGGCCCTTTCGAGTTACCCCCAAAGTCGTCAGGAGAAGGATACATCAGCTTTCTAGCCAATAACCTACCAGAACTTTTCGAACAGACCTTGGACAACTTTCCATTACAACGGAGACAGAATGTGTGGTTTCTTCATGACGGGACACCACCACACATTTTTAGAGGCTTCATTCAGTATTTGAATGAACATTATCCAAATCGCTAGATCGGTCGAAATGCACCTGATCCTCGAAAATGGCCAGCAAGATCTCCTGACCTGAATCCGATGGATTTCTGGTATTGGGGAGAACTTAAAGGAATGGTTTATGGGGCTGGTCCAACAACAACTGAGGCACAACTTCGCGAAAAAAAATTTAATGCGGCTGAAATAATAAATGGACAACTTCGAGGACCTAGAGTAAGAAGAAACTGGGTTCGTCGTAATGAAGCTTGTGTGGAAAGTGGGGGACGACATTTTGAACACCTTCTTCAAATACAAAAAAGTGCAATGTGGGTTAATTGGTGTTTTAATTTATTTTAGAATTATCTTTGATTTCCACCGGCAAAACGCCTTAGAAGAAATTTGTTAAAAACACCGAGGAACATAAATCAATAAAGCCGATTTTGACCAAAGTAGATCATTCAATCAGCTAGCCAAGCCAGCGATGTCAAATCCAGCCTTCAAAATCCAAGCGTCATGTGCACTATATCTCATAATAATCCCAGTGGACATAGTGACGTCATATTGTCGGCATTTTTAGGGCACTACTGACGTACGCCGACCAACGTCGATATGATGTACAGACGCTCGCGAAAAAACTTTTATAGGTATACTTTATCTGAAGTCACTTGAAATAGTATAAAAACCTTTGGTCGGCGCGTCCTTTGTAATTTCATGACGTATCATAGGCGTGCGGTCATTTATTTAGAACGATAATAATAATGTTTTTATATCACAATAAATGGATTTTACTATCTTCTTATTTTTTTGATTTGGGATAAAAAATACTTATATTGGGAGTTTAATTTATGTTGACTGAAAGTTAAGAAATGGAAAAATTACAGAATTCCAACATTTGACATAGGCAAATATTTACATAGCAGGTAGGTATATAAAAAGGTATATAAAGACTTACATTATAGGTATTTATATATCATCCTCGCCTTCGGAGCTGTCGCTAGAGTCATCTTGTAGAGGAATTACAACGGGATTTACAGGAGGCAAAACACAATATTCATTTTCTTTTTCAATAATATGCCTAGAACACTGCTTCCATAGGTCTGTGGCAGCAATATGAGATACTGCATCTCTTATTGTGGCCAATAGCGATTCACTTAATTGAGGGGTCTGATTATGTTTTCTTACTTTTTTTTAAAGCAGCCCAGACCAACTCAATCGGGTTAAAAATGCAGTAATAGGGAGGTAGACGTAATACTTCATGGCCATTTTGCTGAAGCAGATTGTCAACAACATACTCTTTTTCAAATTTTTGTCTTTTAATATGATCCAATAATATGGCTTTGGTTGATTTTTGTGGTATTTCCATTCCCTTATCCTTCATAAAATCAATAATGTCTTGTTTTTTGGTGCCTGTATTCGGAATTTTGTTTTTCTGTCGGAAATGGTATGGCGCATTGTTCATAATAATCACTGAATTTGGGGAAATGTTTGGTATTAACTGCTGCTCTATCCACTTTTCAAATAAGTCGGAGGTCATGTCCTCATGATAGTCGGCACATGATTCTTTGATATTTTTGGCAGATAACAGCAAGGCATTAGGTATAAATCCATTTTCACTGCCAGCATGGAGAATAATGATTCGTTTTCCACGGTTGCATGGTGCATTTAAAATGCACTTGTTGCTGTCGTCAACCCAGCCGTACTGCACAACATCATGGGTATCATACCACGTTTCATTCAGGTAAATCAGATTTCTTTTCTGCTCTCTATAGATTTTAACTTTGTGCAAAAATTCTTGGCGCAATTCAACGATTCGAGACGTCTCCATAATCACCATTCTTTTATCTAATTTTTTGTATTGAAAACCACACAGTTTTACAATACAGTGCAGTGAGTCTAAGCATTTGTAATTATAAAAATCTTCAGGATAATCTTTTAATTTATCCCGTATCATTTCCAACGTGGGCACCAAATTTTCTTTATAAAATCCGTATATTATACGACGAATATCTTCCTGAAAACCCACGTCTATTCTTTTTAATTTTTGCCCTATGCGCTTTCTGTGGAAGGAATGGTTGACTACATCTCCCCTTTTTATAACCCGATAAATGGTAGACCGACTGATTTTTGTCAGGATACAAATTCTGTTTAAAATTTGATTTTGCGAGGAATCTGGATTTTCGTTTTTCAGACAATCATACATATTTAGGATTACTCTTTGGGTCTGTTCCTCTCAATCTTTATGAAAGAATTCTGCCTGCACAGGTTCATCAACCATCTCCTCGTGGCTTGGAGCATTTTCCCAAGGTCTCCAAAGAGTCATATTTAGGACACAGAAGAACAATCAACACAACAATTAAATCAACAAGTAAACCGAGTATTCAAAAGTCAAAAACGCACAAACTAATAAAATCTATGAAAAAACACGGACAGACTAAAGAAAACAAGTTTATTCACCGCTACACGGCACTGGCTAAACTGTTTCAATTTTCAGTAGCCACCTGCACTTGTTCGGAGCTCTGAAATACACGCTTTCTCATTGGCTATGTCCACGCATAGGCGTGCTTTACTCCACGTGGACCGGTGAAACTGCCTTTGATCTTATACGGGGGATATTTGCTGCGAAATTTGGCGATTTTTGCAGCAACAGAGCGTGTTAAATATAGATATGTATATAAAACGCACTCGGTATTTCACAGTGTTTCAAGTGACTTCAGATAAAGTATACTTGTTGTTTATATGATGCTTTTCTCGCCTATCGCACAAAGCTTGTTGGATAATTTTTAACCATTCAGTCTTTATTGACAGATTTGTATGTTCAATGGTGATAAATCCAATAAAACTACATAACAACAAACGGTTGATTGGGTGCAGTATGCTTTCATTGGATAATGGACATACACAATGAAATGTAACAATGCTCAAAAGTTATTTTCCAGTACAAACGTATCCAATAGTGCATCTGGTGTTGACAAATTGCGGCTTAAAATTCATCGTTCTCGAATGGATGGTGAGGATTGCCGAGGCCACTGAAAACAAATTAGAAAAGTTCAATATGTTGACATTTTATACTGTAATGTCTTTTCTACAAAAAAATGTTAAGTGTTATGATTTGCATAGTTCTCCAAAAGTTCAATATGATTCATGCTTTTGTAGGTACTTATCCAAAATTAATGAAAATACTTACTCCTTCATTGGACAGAACCGTCCATTGCAATCAAATCCATCCAAATAGGCTATATCTTCTTTAGACAATGAAAAATTGAAGATGTCGATATTTTGTTGCAGTCTCGATTTTGTAACGGATTTTGGAATAGTGACTACACCTCGATCTATTTGGTACCTGGAACCAAAATTAGTCAATGAAATTAAATTCCCAGTCCTTAATGTTTGAAGTATTCACTAATATTGTCTGCTATATAATGCCTCGAAAGTCCACCATTAACAATGTCGTAATATCATGTTCCGTTCAGTTTTTTAAATTTCAAACTAAACTGTCTGGACTTACGAAACATGCAAAATTGCTTCACGAGTTTGAAATCGTTTCTTAAAACTTACATAATTTGGATCATTTAAATGATGTAAGAAGTGTTAATATCCACAACCTTTAAAAACCCATATCGGATAATAAAATGTTCTTAAAAAATTAGCCTTCCATTATTTTATTGCAGCTAATGGATTCATTTGATTTTATTTACCTCGCTCATTTTGCGTATGACCTTTTGAGTGCGAAGATTGGAAGCAACTGATTATAGTGTCTTTATATGTTATACGTGTGCCAACATGATACCTTGTGTAAAAAATATTAGACATATTCATGTATTTGGCTGCTTCAGTGGTAAGTCAAAGATGAATAAAGCTGTTACGAAATACTAGTTAAGATTGATGGGTAAAAGGTTTTGAAAAATTCTAAAATACACAGTTTAGAGCATTTTTGTCTTATCATTGTTTATTGATTACTTAGTACTACCGGATTACTTTCGAAAAATGATGAACTAGATTGACTCATAGCACTTTCAATGCGTAGTATGGGGGTCCTCCATTCAAGTTTTACGCAAGCACTAAGGAGGGGGGGCGGTGTGACAGAGTACGTCAGTAATATTTATTTTTCACTTTTTCCGATTTTCTACAAATTTTGTCGATTTTGATTTGAACACATATGGCAACTCTGCAACTCTGCTTGTGTATAGTCTAAAGCAAAACATATCCTCAGGGTTTCTCCAAATATGGATACGTTTACTCGTTTATAACCTTAGCTATAAACGCTTGTGATGGAGATAACGTTTTAAAGTTACCAAAATGTTTACGTAAGCATGGGAGGGGGATAAAATATTTGCTTACTATTGCTGACAAGGCGATTAATAGTTGTAAAAAATCTGCTTTGAATGATCCCAAATTTCATAAAATATGTGCAGTATCTAATTGCAAGGGGAAAAGCGCCTACAGCTAAAATATACATAAGCGAACTGCCGGAAATGAGTCGCGTATAGATTTCCATTGCGTAGACCTCACAAAACATGAAACAGCTCTAAGTTTGAATTTTTAAATCGTCCTTACAATACTTCTCTGCCAATGTGTGGATAGTAATGGGTTTTCAAACATTTTTAGTATTAGCATGATGTTGTCTGTAACACTCAATACTCATATTGTATTTTTTAGTCATTTTTTTTTCTAACAATAAATATGTAGTACCAAATTCTGCTCCTCTAGAGCATAATATGACAGAGGAGGATAAGACAAACTTCAAAGTCATTTACTCTTAACTCGGTAAAAATGAATAAAAAAACCAGAAAATGGTGGCATTTTGGAATTGCGCGATGGAGTTATTACCTAAGCAGAATTTGTGCAGGAGTTTTCTTGTATTTATCAGCCAACTGTTTCAATTTTGAATCCTCGAGCAGTTGTGGATCTTCCGGTTTTGCCCAGGGACGATCAGGAGAGCCCAAAGGACTATAGCCGGTTACAACAATGTTTTTCGATCTACAGAACTCGATCAGCTTCTTCTGGTTGAGATATGGGTGACATTCTACCTGTATAAAGAATGAAAATTGTAAGAGATATAGAGGATGAACACAAACGGATAAGTAAATCTCGAAAAGAAATATTGTTTTCTAAATGGGTTCACTTATTATGGGGACATGTCCAGTTATATTGATTGATGGCAAAAGACAAATTCTCAGTTTCAAATTATATTACCTGGTTTACCACAGGTTTGATGGTAGCAACAGACAAAATCCTCTCAATCTGTCTACTGTTGAAGTTAGAGAGACCAATAGATTTTGTAAGACCTTTTCGGACGCATTCCTCCATTGCTTTCCAGGTATCTACGTAGTCAACATCACTGAAGATAATCTTGCCATTAGCATCTCTAGGGAATAGTTCGCCATCTTCCTGAAATTAATGTTAATTATTGTCAAATATATTTCAAAAAAAGTAGTGAGAAATAGTGAGATTATACATAAAAAAGTGAGATAATTCTCTGAGAAATTAAATTTCATAATGCCAAATTTAAATATATAATATAAATAAGAATGTGTGAAAAAACGAGAATAACTCTTATAAGGTCTCTGTTACTGTTTTATTGACGTAAGCAAACATAATTATTTATATGTATGCATATTTTAAGATCAAATGCATACGATGCATAAAAGAAACAAAAACATAACAAATTCTTGTAAATACGGGTGACTTACTTACTTTCTATTAAGTTAACTGATTGAAGCTACATTTTAGCGTTACTATCTAATGTTACAAAGTTGAAATTTGATTCAGTTATTATAGATGAGTATTTTTCGCACAATAGTTGACTAAATCATCAGATCGTAAGACTAGAGCACTTGTCATTAGAAATTAAGAGTTATTTTATTCAATGGGTTCCGATGGCCACTTCCTGGCTTTATCATCAGATCATCTCCGTGTCATATGATTATATTGCAATGTCAATTGTCATATTAACGTCCGCCATACTGGATTAGAATTACGTCACTTTGCTTATTGTGGTTCTGGCATCAAGCCCTTTCATTTGATATCCATAATGACTATGGAAATCAAAAATCGATATTTTGCTGCGGCCGCCATATTGGATATAGAATGACGTCACGTTGCTTACTGTATCTCTTCGGACTTGGACCAGATAAGTTGGTTACACCTGGATTTTACCAGTTGAGGTAGATGAGTCATAACCAAAATTCGGAGACACGTCAGTCATTCTGTTTCTAATCAGTCAAAGCTGTTAAACCGCGAATGATGCACTCCAATATATGAACATGTTATTCTGGATCTAATCCTACATGGAATCTCGTTATTCGCGAATACAAGTTAATAATACATAAGGAATCAAGCCTTTCGATAAGCAAACACAGGTATTGAAGGTACTAACCTTGTAAGCTACAGGCCAATGAATCAGGTAAAGGTCCAAATAATCCAGCTGTAGGTTTCTCAATGACTCTCTTACTACTTTCTCTACCAAGTCTGGCCTGTGGAAGGAATTCCACAGTTTGCTTGTGACCCATAAGTCTTCCCTTTTCACTGTACCATCATCAATCTTGGCTTTGATACCAGCTCCTACTTCTTTTTCATTGCCATACGCATAAGCACAATCAATGTGCCGGTAGCCCATGTCAATGGCATCCTTTACTGCTTGCTCCACCTCACCTGGTTTGGACTGGAACAAACAATCAAGATAACGTATTAGAATAATTGTGTTTAACCTCCTATTCATAATAAACCTATGGTCCATATGGCATCCTGGAGATATTCTAGTATGCAGTGAAAACCAAATTTGTCTGACAGCTTGAGTTCAATGTGTGTACGAGAGAGAAGAGCGAGAAGTGTGTATCAACACATGTTAGAAATAGATAGAAGCCGGCTGAAGAGCGAAGATCATCACCACATTGCCTAGCAACGGTGACGCAGCAGATCTTGCAATCTGCCGCGGTGCCAATATGTTACACCATAAAATATTCGCACAGGCTTCTACAATAGGTTAGGTTACTGTCAAACCCAAGAGGGAGGTTTGTACGAACAATTTATTAAACTTTTATTATTTATTTCAATTTTGATGCGAAGTGTTGTTTTAATTTATTTTAGAATTATCTTGGATTTACACCGATGGTGTTAAAATCAACACATGCAGATTTATTGACATATACCATTACGCAATACAAATGATCACTGCCTGTGTGTACGCAGGTGAAAACCATTTCAAAGCTGAGTACTGACCGACATCTCTCATCTATGATCAGGGAAGTGGAAGCCTTGCCATGGAATGTACGAGATGAGGGGTTGCCAAGCGAACCAATGATACAATGATGAAGAATTTCGTCCTAAAATGGAGCGCCGTTAGGACCGATCCGCAACGGTACTACGTAAAAACCCTAAAATAAAAAACGTCAAAAAACTGACAAAATGTCGTCTTGCAGACTAGGTAGTTTTTGGTGTGCAAATAATTCATTCCACGTTTGTTCACTATGAGCGTTGTTCGCTGACTTTTAAGCAACACTTAGAGCTACAAAACAAGTTCACAACAAGTGTATAACAGCTTGTGGTAATTTAAAATCTTGTAGGAAAACCTACGTTATGTCACAAAAAACCTAAGAAAAGTAAAAAAAAAAACGAAAAAATGTTACTTTTTAAGATACGTGATACCCGTGCCGGAATCGATCCTAAACAGATCCGACACAATTCACAATTAAAAAATGCGTACGCTCGTAATAAAACCGCATGAATCTTAATTCACCCAATTGGTGTAACATATTCGGCCTCGCGGCAGATTGCATCGTCAGCGTTGCTGGGCAACGCGCTGATGAGCTTGGCTATCCAACCGGTTTCTATATCTTTCTAATACACACTCCTCTGTCGTAAACATTGAATTCAAGCCAGCAGACAAATCTGGTTCTAAGTGTATCGAGGACTGAAACAACTGTGTGTAATGCTGACAGTACTTTCTCGAGTGATCTCGTCTTGTCTCGCAGTGACGACTACGATAATGTACACTCTCGACTCTAGCTTGTGAAGGTGCGGGAAGTGGGAAGGAAGTGGGGGCTAGTCGCTATGAGTCGATTAAGTTATAGGACAGTCAAATTATATGAATTTGTTGCTATGCCCATATCGAAACAATGCGCTTTATAGATTATCTACATTCAAAGCAATTATATTGAACTATTAGTGTTTTTTTCGTTATTGCACATTACTCAAATATATAATTTATACAGATAAACCAATTTTCACCATTATTAACATATTATGACCATACTATACGCGTGTCGATTCCAAAAAGAAGCAGAAAAAATGTAAACAGACACTGTAAGTTTGTCGTGAACTATGCGCATCCGCATTTGTCATGTATTGCGGTGCCTCGAGTAACTTTTCTGACATCCTCAGACATATTTATCACCAGTAAATTAATTGATCGAATTATTGCATGATACGTACAAGTTTCGAAGTCAATGATGATGTTTTTGTTTATATCAGAACTTATACCTTTTTAATACGTGCCTATTGTGAAAGAAAGTAAATCAAAACGTAATGGTATCGTCATGTTCTAGATCCGTCTCTGTGTAGTTCCGACGCGCCTCCCCTTTTTAATCAATCTGACCTTGCTGCTTTGCCGGCAGCCGGCTTCCAAACCAAACAATGGAATTTCTCCAAGATACGTTCAACGATCTAACAAGAGGACTACTTCGCAATTATAAATTATATCGATGAAAAATGATACTATGTAACTAGTTTAAAAATAACTAGGACAAGTTCTTAAAAAGTCTTACCTTCCAGGTTCCTAAACCGAATTGAGGGATTTCTAGGCCGTTGTTGAGTTTAATTCTTGGTACTTTTTTGTCCATCTTCAAGGGATTTCGATCAATAATTCACGACAGACGATAATAAACTGAATTGGTAGCTCAGAACTCCAGAATGAGAGCTCAAACGGAACTTGTAAACAAGTGGATGACTTGCCGGTTGCTTATCAAGAGTGGATAAATGTAATTTACCAGAGTTGTTCATATAACATCTCCGGAAGTATACGAGGGACGAATTGATATATGTGTGCGTATGACGTTGATCTATATTCGTCAGACCGGTCCGTAGAACCTTAAAGGTTCTTTGAGGGTAAGTGTTGATGTTTCAGTACTTCCTGTCCTAAAAAGACATCAAAATAACAGCCTTCTAAAGAACGTCTTGTTGTCGTCCTAAAAATGGCGTCAATAACATCGTCATTTTTGAGTCAAGGACTTTTCCGAACAACAGTGACCGAATACTGACGTCATTTTGGCGTCATCATTTTCACTGGGTTTGTTCTTGATTAACGTTCTTTAAGTCAGTACGTCTGTCAGGTCTAGCCGGTAGGGCTAATCAAATATCAGAAAAAGTGATTGGAGAAAGAAGGGAAGAAAAGAGAATTGACACCGATTATTTTGCAACAGACAGAGTAGTTTCAAACAATCGAGCTCCTCTTGGAACAGAGACTGGGTACCTTCTAGATTTATGTCGCAATTGTGGAGTGTGCCATAGGGAGGGGGGCTTTGGACAGAACTCCACTGCCAAATACGTTAGTTTTTCCTTATATGTGACTTCGTGTCCTCCTGACTCAAAGGCTGGATCCGCCCATAAACCACCACCAGAATCTTTTTATATGCCACTAACCTTATTCAGTCATTTATTTGGTGAAGCTCATGTCGTTGATGTTGATATTACCAGATATTACAGAAGCTTGTTCTTTCCAATGAAAACTTCCATTCTATTCATATAGAAAAAAGTGTTGGATCTCAGTATAGTCTGCCTGAGACACACAGCGACACAGACCATGCACCAAGGACTCTTCTCTAACCTGCAGCGATTTCATACGGTATCCTGACCCACCCCCTTCACATGCAGTTCGCGCCTGAACGTATTTGGACCAGACAACAGTCCCACCACCAACCTTAGGATGGCTGTATCCCAAAGTAAGCGAAAGCGTCCATCCCTAGCACTGAACCATACGATGAGCTCCCGTGCCTGACGAAGATGTCTAGAGATGCTTCTCCATTTCTGAGAGTGTTGTCTAGCACTCCACTTCTCCATTCTCCTCCTGACTCTTTGCGCGGGCACCCCTAGCGCTGGCTCAGGACCATCAAGCTTGCTAGCTAATCTGCTTCCGCAGGAGCCACTCTAACGATACCGGATGCCTTGCTGCTCAGCTATCTAGAGCCTCCCTGCATTGGAATACAAGGCTCGAAGTAATCTTGCAGGCACTTGTTGCCTTCATCGTAGCCTGGCTGACAAATGAGATTGTTATTCTTATCCAGGTTCTTCGCCATCCAAAATGTGCACCAGCCAGAGTTGCATAGATTTCTGCCTGGAAAATAGTGGTGTATCTGCCGAGAGGCAGAGATAGTCTAATTCTAGGCCCAAAGACTTCGGCGCTAGAGCTCTCTTCAGTAACCGAGCCGTCCGGGTACCAGGCGTACCCACTTCCGAAGTCTCCTCCTCGGATAATCAACATTAGCTTGCGGCTAAATCGATATGTAGGGGTGATCTGCTCAGAAAGACTGTGTCCTCCCTTTGCAATTCGATGGCAGTGTGAACCTTTACACACTGCGCTTAGCATATTGTGACAAATAGTACTGTTGGCGCCATCTGTTGGGCGTGGCTCCTAATCGCCAGAGCTTCATGACCGATCTCTGCTTTTACGCGAATCACGACCGCACAAGCCGCTTGGCGGCGTCTGTGAGGACCGTGGCAGTGACTTACCTTCTAGATCGACGCGAAGTGACCTCCAAAATATTCTAGATGCCGCTGTGTGGTTCACCAGACCTTTCCCGAAGCAGCAATGGCGGCTATATATAACTCGGCGGTCGGGAGATGGAGGCAGAGTACAGATTACACCAGAGCAGAGCGGAGTGAGGTATAGTGCAGTTAGTGGCGACGTAAGAATTAGTCAGACATAAATAGTGGTGTGTATATATGTTCTATCAAGTTAAATAAATTAGTGCATTTCTTTTTGTGGAATCCAGTGTTTTAATCCACATCCTAAAGAACCCAGAAAAGCGCTACAACATATTAAAACCTCCTTCGGAATGGGATCAGTCCTGAGCATTGGCGAATTCAGGAGGAGGATTTTAGCTCTTAAATTTTCTGTCACTAGTACCATCCCCCCAGTACGTTTTTCTGGATAAGTCAGTGTTCATGAGTTCTCACGTGTAGATGGCATGCCCTGAAAACTCAGCCAAATCTCATCCTGCAAAACCTATCCCATATTCGAAGAAACCTGCGAACGCCATTTCAAGATTCCATTTTAACTAAAAATTGTGCCAACCTGGTAGATTAACACCTAGTATATTGAACTTCTGTTTCATAATTGTTATGGTGTAGTTTATAAATTCCATAACAGTATATCATTATAACTATGGAGTGAAGCACCCACATGAGCAACATTTATTATTTGACTCGGAGAATGACAAATATGGATATGTAATAGAGTGGTAGTGTGCTATTAATGCATCAACAATCAATTGCGGTTAAAAGCAAAACGCTTCGTTTTATTAATGACAAAATATCGGCTTTATCTCATAATGGTAGATAGATAATCAATAAGTAGGTTAGTAAAAAACGGAGATACTCATATAGCTAGTGTGTACGAATACATATTCGCATAAGTATACAGGGTGTTTCACAACTTTTAACCACATATGCACAGTTACGAAAGAAGCTGATTTATCAAAGAAAAAATGTAATAAAAGTTCCACAGAAATTCAGTTACATATAAGCCTGAGTTTCAATTATAAATGGAAAAATAAATATCTATATTTTGCGTTCATCGTCGTGATATTAGAACACATATTAATAATTTATTGTAGCAAATGTTGTACCCAACAAAAATACCAGGAATTTTTTATTTTTTCATACTGAAGAACGTGTAAATAAGGTTTAATCGGTATCGTGGGTGATCTGAATGAAGAACGGTCGATTTGTGTAAAGTTAAATAAGAAAGTATTTTGCGAGTTTATGTTTTTAGTTATTTATTAATAGAGCTGGCACATGTGTACACTAATGAGAAGTTAGTGGACATTGTTTTAGCGTATGGAGAAGTAGGACAAAATTCGCGAGCGGCTTCTCGAGAATTTTATTATCTCGATTTCTGTAGGATTTTCATCACATTTTTTTTTTAAGAATGCAACTTCTTTCGTAACAGTGCATATATGTGGTTAAAATTTGTCGTATAACTTGTGAAACACCCTGTATCACATAATAGCATGCCCATAAGTGTAATTTAAAAGAAATTTAAATTGTATAAATGAGGCAGTTTATACGCTACGACCACATTGCAAATAAACACAGAAAAACTGTATTTACTACTATACTTCCAAAAAGGGAAGCAGATGAGGTTGTGAAACTACGTGAATACAGCGCTGGGCAGTCATGCTACCTCGAATGAACACTAATCGTCACCTGCTGCCGTAAGCAATGGTACCTTTCCCAAAAAAAGTACGGCCCGGAATGCGTTCAACATTTCATCAGCGTATTCTTCCATGATAGCAAATATGTTTACAGGTTTTATCAAAATTCAATAAATAATATTGAGTGTTGTATTTTATATGTCACTTAGTATAACTGAAATCTTATTCTGAAAATCGTGCTCCGTGTGTGACTTAAATCAAACGGAAAGGCGAAAATTATTGAGGAAATGACGGATTTCTATAGTCTGTCCGTACACCAGAAATATGTATAATATTTTTCTTCTGTGCGGAAATAAGTAAAAAGTTAGTCTACGTTTCCTGCTTTGCCCGCGAATACGATGTAACGCATTTTTACTTAAGTATTGTGTTTCAACAGAGAATTTCATACTGATGCACATTCAAGTAGGTATCACTATACAATATTTCTGTGAGCATCGTATAACAGATAATATTTATGTTTTCAGAATCGTGAAATCTGAGACGCGGTGATATGTTTCATAAGCTTGAGCTCATTGAAAAAATATGAATGCTAGGGTCTGTATAAACAGAAGTATATTCTAATAAAATAAACCTAAAACTAATATTCACTACTAGACAAACATTGTTCGAAGACATACAAGATCCAGATTATAATGAATACTCAATCATCTAGGCTAAGTACTATAATGTCTGCGGTCTGCTTCGAGATGGGACAATATACTATCCAGTGATTCAATTATATGCTGTCATGCGTCTTTTATATCCTTAGAAATGACGAATGGCAGCAAAAAAGCCTGAAGGATAAAAGTTTCACTTTCCTAATGTTTGAAAAACATCAATAAGGTTGTTGGGCTATGAATCCCTGTTCGCCCTATGGATGCTTCGACTATCGTGTAGCTCCCAATTATCGGAGACTATTACACCGTCAAATACATTGTTTCAAACTCTAAAATCTAAGCAAAGCAACTTGACATGTCTAAACTGAGAATAGATTACTTTTCATTTGACCTTGCTATTCGATTCATTTAAGAAATCATACTCTCATCACTGTACCCAGGTGATTTTGATTTTGACAGATGGATGGTCTTTAAGCCCAAGGTCATGCCACATTTGTTGTTTTTGCCTTTGTTTTGACTATTTAATATTTGGATATTTTTTCAATTGAACCCAAATAATTCAACACATCAATACCACTTTTTCACCAAGCAGATGTTCCCGATCGAACGAATAAACAACCATTGATGATACAACGTCAATTTGCATATTTACAAGTTGAGTGTGTACCAGAGTTTCTAATCCTAATCTCTTTAAGGTAATCCATTAAATACGATGTTTAAAACCGTGGTGAATCATCAATGCTAATGTAGCGTAAGTAGGCCGTAACTAGAACAATGTCAAAGGAAAAAGAATATGGGGTTTTACTGAACAACAGCGTACTGAAGGATATTCATCGACAGCAAACAAAAACAGCTTTGCTAGGGCAAGTGGTCATTATTGATGAGAAACATCCACCGAATGTTGTTCTGAGATTCTTGAAAGAAGGAGATACATGGGAGTCTACACCTTTCGTTTGTCCAGAAGATAACATTTTGTATGTTAGTGCTAAACTTTGGCCATTCTTTGCTTCTATTACATCACCCCAGGAGAGAGTTAAGCTAGCGAAGAATACAAAGCTGTGTAAAAAGTTGCAAAATGTTGGGAAGGATATGATTGTTGGTTTTGCTGATGTTAAAGATATTTACCTGGGAAAAGTAAAATATATTGGCATAGTAAAAGGAATGGGCTATTGCTTTGGAATTGAGCTGCATGTGAGTAAATATTATATGTAAATATACAGTAATTGACAAAAGTATATAGACAAACATGAATATTTACCTACATGCCTTTAGAAAACGAGTTCATACTTCATTGCTCCATAAACAAATGCGTTATTAGTAGAAATATTAAATTCCTTGTTTTTACATTATCTGCAATGAACACAATACAAGTCTGAATATAAGCACTTTTTATGAGAGACAAAAATATGTAGACAAGTTCTTTTCAACATTAGTTTCCTGTCAGAAGAGGATTAGTTTGTGTTCATCGAGTATTGTGGAATAAGTTCAGTGATTCAAGATTATGCCGCCTGGTCCCAAAATTTCTTTTGATGTGAAAACTAAGAATATTGAGTCATACGAAGATGGTCAACATCTAGTCGACATTGCCAAAAATGTTAAGCTGAAACGTAAAGCAGTTTGGGAAATATTGAATAAATATAAACAAAAAGGTATCTTGGAAGCCTCTAAGAGAAATGGTCGGCCTAGAAAACTAAATGCTAGATGAGTTAGATTAATAAAAGTAATTTCGTACAAAGATCCGTTTAAAACCCCAAGACAAATAAATGCCGAAATCGAGACAAAAGGAATTGGCAGTGTTTCTACGAAAACTATAAGTAGAAGGTTGACTGATGTGTGTTATTTGCACGTCGCCCGAGTAAGAAGCCACTGATCTCGAGGAAAAGCTGTAAGGACCGATTACAATTTGCACGGTTGCATCTTGATTGGAGCATCTGTGACTGGAAGAGGGTATGTTTCAGTGACAGATTCAAGTTCAATATGTTTGGATCACTGGAGTGGTGTTCATAATGTTAGACGTCCTAGTGGACAAAGATTGAACCCCAAGTTCACTTTGCCCACTGTCAAACATGGAGGCGGGTCTGTTATGGTTTGGGGGTGCTTTTCGGGGTTTGGGATGGGACCTTTACATAGAATAAATGGCATTATGGATAAGTTTGTATACAGAGACATACTAAAGCATGTCATGTTACCCTATATGGAAGACAATATGCTCTTCAGATCAATTTTCCAGCAAGATAATGACCCGAAGCACACTTCATATCTTGCAAAGAAATTCTTTATGGATGAAAAAATACCAGTTCTCAAATTGAAAGTAGATGGGAATACTTAGATACGCAAATAAGAGATAAAAATGATTCGAACAAAGATGAACTTTTTGCCTCTTTAGAGCAAAAGTGGAGACAGATTGATGAATCTTATATCAAGAAACTTCTACAATCCATGCCGAGACGATGATTGATAATAATGGTTATGCTACAAAATATAAACACAAACATGGTTGGTTGTTTATAATTCAATGAACTTTGCTTGTTTTTTCTATAATTGTTTGCTTTGTCTATATATTTTTGCGTTTCATAGTTCCAGTTTTTTTTCAATTAATTTTTTATTGAAGGGTGTCTAATGAATTTATTTATGTATAAGTGAGTATTATGCTATAACGAATTATGTATACAGGTTGGTGTATTAATAAAGTTAAAAAAGAAATACAGAACAATATTAATTTGTCTATATACTTTTGTACATTACTGTATATTTCTCTAACAACATGCTCTTACAATCATAATTGATAATTCCACAAAAGACACTACAGAAATGCTTACGGCTAATTTTTTAAACATTTAGGATGTTGTACACTTGAACACTTGGAACAATAGTACTCATGAGTCCATAGTTTTTTCACAAGTAGTTTTTGATTTCCATGGCCTCTAGGTTGGCAATAAGTACCTTATTATATCATATTGCAGGCATAGTACAAAATTACTAGATTGCTATTTTATTATTTATTTTACATAATCTGAAGAAAGGTGATTATTGTTATTATCCCTATTATTATATCTCCAGTTGATACGGAGTTTATCCAGTCCTTTAATTGCACAAGACAGTTAGATATACAGAGTTATCAAATAGGACCCTGTGATTTTCAAATTTATTATTTGAGATACCTAGTCAAAGTTTATGCAACATAATTGGGAGATTTCATTTAAAATACAACTTAATATGACGTTTTTTAGATGAAATACACAATTTTACCTAGAATAAAAACTTGATAAAAGTATTTAGGTGTATCCAAACTGCAATGAAAATATGATTATCTATAAAAAACTTACTTTTATGATGTTCATTAGTGGGACACCTTGTATTATTCTGAGCATATTTAAATGTATTCATGCAATAACAGCACAAGGTAATACTGAACAGTCTTTAAAATAGTTTCTTTCTTGCCTCAATATTTCATCCATACAAGTTTGGGCCACCCTGTTTGCCCTGAACTATAATGTTGGTGGTAAACTACCTAGTAGGAATGATGATAAAAACGTAAATGAATACTGAATAACTATAATATATAACAAACCACAATTTGCTGAAATATGGTATGGATTGTCCAACTTGGAAGCCCTGTATGTCTGACACTACTTGTGGAAAAGCTTTGGATGGACATGTTTGTTCTGTTGAGATATATGGCATACTAAATTTTTGAATAGCCAAGCCATTCCCCATAAGGTTTTAAGTTTTGCAGTTAGACTCGTTTACGTTTGTTTATTGTAATTTGAAAAAGACTGCTCTGGCAATCAAATTCATTTATTCACACACGTTGCTTTAACCAGAATCATAGAGAGAAAGAAGATGTATTGTAACATTCTTGCAGGAGAAGAAAAAAGACAACTATTGCAACGGCTCCTGTGCTGGAATTCAATATTTTGAATGTGCTCCAGGTTATGGTTGTCTTCACAACATAGAAAGAATCATTCCACAGAGTTATGCTAATGGCCCTCCATCTCCCCTTTGAGAACCCCCTCCGAATTGGACGTGTGTCTAGAGAAAAACTTACAAAGCATGATCAACAGTAACAGCTATGAAAAACCAAAATATGAAAACATCGTTACTAAGTATGGAGAGTATTCAAACAAAACTTGACTTCTACTAATAAGCCTGTCAGTGGCCTAAGGAATCCTTATCTTTGCAAGACATCGTGGAGAATACCAGTGTAAATACTAACAATGATTTTGACCCAGAATACCATCATACAGTCTGATAAGACTCATTTGACAAATGAGCAGAGGAAAATCAAAAATAAATCTGAAATGGACTTGATTGAGGTGATTGGTGGCACGTGGTCCGGTTCGACAGATAGCAAAACGTTAGAATCATTTAGTGATTTGAAAAAAACCTTGACAAAAACGATAATTTAAAGGAAAAATACTCACAATCTCAGTATAAAAGTAACACTTGGAGCAAGAGGAATAAGAGCGTTAATCTTCTGTCTCACTTTATTGACTCCATCATAGTAGTAATACTCTCAAAAGGACCGCTAAGTTTTACACTGATTCTGTAGAAAATGGTGAGGAAGATGCAAGGATTCACAGCGTTAAAAAGCCGGAAATGTTAAGAGTAAGTTTGTAGTTTATTTTGGGTTTGGTAATTTTAGTGCATGCAGTGGCGTGTCTGAATTCGCATTTTTGGGGATCAAAGATTCAGATTTATAGACCTTCCGTGAGGCTTGTGGCTTTCTTAGAAACAATAGATTTCAACTTAAAAACAGTGAAACAATGACGCTTCCTGAAGGGGGGCTCAAGGGAGAATTTAAATTATCATTTCACCATAGGCTGTAACAGTTCACATCACAAGTTGTCATAGATGTCACAAAGATATTTCTTTGCTGTATCTGTTGATAAAATTGGGACGATTTGGAACAATTCGAAATAAGTAGTAATGTGTTAGCTTCCTCTAATTACAGCACAATCAGATAGAAGTAAAAAACTGAATATAGGCAATCAGTTGCAGTTGCACTGAATCGTTCTGTTGATTGCAAGTTGTAGATTAAGTCTGTCAGATTGAACTACCACGGTATTTCACAAAAAAGAAACATATTTTGTACCCAAATTTCATTGTAAAATAAATTATGATTTGTGGCTATGAAGGAAGAAGTTTAGCTAGGAGAATATGCATTTGAACGAAAAATAAAAACAGGTAGCAGCAGCTTGGTGCAACTGGTTGCCTATATTCAGTTGTTTATTGCTTTGTGATTGCCTTGTAGTTTGTGAAAGCAAACACATTATTATTTTGCATTGTTTACTGATCTTCAGCACATCTAAACCAAATGGACACAATTTTATCATAAAAATGCTGAATAGATACTGTCAGCCAAGAAAAATCTTTGTGACATCAATGACAGCTTGTGATGAGAACTGATACAGCCTAGTGTGAAATGAAAATTTAAATCCTCCCTTTAACGTTCCTTCAGGAAGCGTTATTGTTTCACGTTCACTGTTCGCAAGGAAGGTCTATAAATCTGACTCTCAGTTCTTCATCAATGACTAAGAGTGCCCACAAACTTCGGTACTTCATTGCTTGACTCGCGGACTTTCTGTCTCGAGGATTGAAATCCGGTATTTCTATAATTTGAATTTTTTAATGGTTGCTGTACGAATGCTAAAGATGTCGCGCTTTTAGTACGTGGAAGAGGATGCATTTTTGATGTTTTTCGCACACTCACAACGTAGACGACGCGTTACTATGACGGTTGCTATAGCCCTGTATAACGAATATGAATAATGTGGCGTAAACGCGGTACCGGTTAAGAAATTTAGTAATTGTTCGAGTTTTTGGTAACGTAAGCATTGTTAAAAATATTCAAAATCGATGACATTAAGTGTCGGCGATGCAGCAAGTTAGTGCGAGTACACTACGCAGGAAATGAATTTTAGATGCTGCGCATGTGGTATCTCTCTCTCCCTTCTCCTATTCTCTCTCTCTCCTCCTCGCTCTCTCTCTCTCTGTGTGTGTGTGTGTGTGTGTTGCTATAATCATGATTATAAAGAAATCGAATTTTGACTGTTCGGATGAGTTGTAAGCAGTAATATAGATGTTGCATCAGTCGATTTCAGGTCCATTTGAAAAATTGTTTGAGTCCTTTATTCATCATTTCTAATTTTTTTCGGCGCAGTTCAACGCACTGCACGTTTGCGGCATGATCGTTATATAATTACCAAAATTACATAATAATAAAGAAATAAAAAAAATTGTTCAAAATAGGCACATAAAGATGCGGCAGGTTATGTTGACACGTGTATCCTTACGCAGTTTAACCCCTATCTTTAGTCTTCGTGGCGGCTACCGCCGACCCGTAGTACCAACAATTTAACTCCACAAGCCACCGATAAAAAGATGAAAAAGGAAATATGGCTAAGGTAGCCTTGCCCTGACAACTTTGAGGGTAACGCCTGATCGTCAAGAATACCTCCCAAATTATTAAAACGTGTTGGAAATGACTTCACGAATGGTATGAGGATTTTCTTGAGCCCACGAGTGAGTATTATGGTAATTTAATATGCCGTCTCGCGTAAAAGTACATTTGTCCGTCGCGAGAATGCTTTTAAAAAATCCGGATTTCAATGTTTTTGTGCAAAAACCACTGACAGAATGTTAGTCTGCGAGTATAGTCTTCTGGTAACAAGGCCTGCACTCGTTGTACATGGTAGTGATAAAGCAAATATTCCCGTAGGATTATATGGACTATGGTATGCGATAGTCCTACGCGGCGACCTAATTCCCGAGCGCTGATATCTGCATTGATTTCCACGATATTTAACATGTGTTCCTCCTGCTCTAAAGTAACCTGTCTTTCACAAGTGTGAATATTAGTGGGCTGAACACTTCCTGTATCTCGAAGTCTTTGGTACACTTGCAAAAATGTCCTTCTGTCTGGGTGTACCCGTTGGCGAAATTTGTCGCGATAAATTTGAGCTGCAAGATTTGAATTCTGACTAGCTTCACCGAAAACTAACAACATGTCGGCGAACTCTTGATTCGAGAACATTGTAAATCAACACGACGACGTTCGCGAACAAAAACAAAACAACATATTAACCACTGTTACCGTTTGCGGTCGATTGTCGGTTCGATAAGAGTGAGGACGACGCGCTGTTGTCATGTGTGTTTTAAATATTCAATTTAATGAAACTTACTGACTACAAATTTTGGCCTAACTTAATGCCATTTATTTGTTAATTACCCAAAAACGATTTAGATTAGATTATAAAAATTAGTAAGATTGTGGTGATTGTGGTCGATATAAAGCACTTAAAGTTGTAAACTATAAAGCCATTTAGACAAAAATCTATTGACTTTTGGACCATGGGTCATATGAACTTTTTGACTTGTTTTGATCCCCCTATTACCCATTTCAATAATGACTACCATAACGTTTACACACTGTAGGTTGTTGGCATTTTTTGCAAACTACAAATAATCTCGGTCATGCGCTGAAAATTTTGGGAACGATGTTTTATGTTTTTGCGTCCTATTAGTTATGCAAAAAAAAAACCAAAACACTTTCTGCCCCTAAAAAGGAGGGTCATAATTCGGCAAAAAAAAAATTATAAGTATACTTGTACCACTTATGATCGGATCGCTTGATGTCTTAGCTCTATCATTTTCAACTGATATCCACTTGAATGCTACGTCACTGGACTTTTCCTGTCCAGCAGAGCAAGTTGTAAATATAGAGAAAACCTAAAAATAGGCCGCTTTTATATGTTTGGCAGAGTATATTACGCGCTTTTCCAGCCATCTATTTTGTTCATCACACAATCATCATTAATTTGTAACCAAAGTGATTCACGAGCGGGCGCATTTAGCCATGTGCTGTTCAACGAAACTGCTAAAAAGTTCGTATCATTCGGTTACTTCTACCCACCTAAAATGTCGCTAAGTCATCGCAAAAACCACCACAAACTATGTTTCGACTTCAAAAAGAAACATCCGCCATCTAAACCATCCCATCGCGACGTATATGCTAACATGAATGTTGCAAGTGACAGTGATACCGACTCGTCCCCTAATATTCCCCTGTTTATCCTAGAGTTGAACGAGAAGGTGGATCAACAGCAGAAACCTACGTCGAAGTTTTACGTGCACGAGACCCCGAAGTATCTAGAACCTCAGCCGGGTACCACTAAGGAACTGGCTATTGGAAGCTTGGTAGAGATCTCTAATGACGTGAGTGAGACGCCACTATACGGAGTTGTACGGTGGATGGGAGTGGAACAAGGAACTAATTTTGTGCTGGTAAGTTTACTATCAGAATACCAGAAAAGAAATACAGTGGACCCCCGATAATCCGGCCCCTGTCTAATCCGGAGCCCCCTGTAATCCGACATGTCTTTGAATATGTCTTACATAAATACGTATTTGACAATCTTGGCTAATTTAGATTATGCAGGTTTGAACAGGTTACAACTTGTACGCGCCACCGCTATCGTGCTCGACGCGTAAACATTGTTTTACTTAGTTTGGATTTGACTACTTGTGATAGCGGTACGGCCTAGCGTGCGTTAATTGTTTACTATTTATTCATTGTGTATTAAGTATAGTACCTAGTAATGTCATCAGAGCGAAAGCACAAAACATTGACAATTAAAAGAAAATGTGATATTTTAGACCGCTTAAATCGCAATCACAAACTTTGAGTAGTTTAGCAAGTGAATACGGCGAAAGCCGATCTACAATTTATGACATTAAAAGAAACCACGAGAAGATCAAGAAGTTCGTGTCAACTACTGACAGGAAATAACAAAAAAAGATGATTTTGTGGCCAGCAAAGGATGGCTAGAACGTTTTAAAACTCGTCATGGCATACGTTTAATTACTATTACAGGAGAGAAACTTTCTAAAGATGCCACCTACATAGAGCCCTTTAAATTGAGATTTTTGCATAGGTGAACGATCTAAATCTTGACCCGTCACAGGTGGACAATGCAGACGAATCAGGGCTTTTTTGGCGTGTGATGCCTAACAAAACTTTTGTTTCTTGTAACGAAAAGTCCGAACCTGGACGAAAATTAAGTAAAGAGCGTGTAACCATACTACCATGTGCTAACGCTGCGGGCACACACGCGCTTAAGATGATAGTCATTGGGAAATCTAATAAATCACGAGCATTCAAAGACATTGATTTACCTATTACGGACAAAAAAAGTGCATGGATGACAAAAGACCTTTTCAAAAAGTGGTTTGATCGAATGCTTCGTACCTGAAGTTAGAAAATGGTTAAAAGACCATAATTTTCCTCAAAAAGCGTTGTTGCTTCTTGATAACGCTCCCGGTCATCCGTCTGAAGAAGAACTAACAACTGAGGATAAATACATCACTGCGATGTTTCTTCCGCCAAATTGCACTGCACTGATTCAACCAATGGACCAGAATATCATTCAGTTTGTCAAGCCAGACTATAAGAAAAACCTACTTCTGAGAGCCGTATCAAAAGACCAACCAATAGAAAAAACTTTAAAAGAATTGAATATGAAAGACTTGGTTTTTGCTCTTTGTCTCTCGTGGAATGCGTTACCGTCATCAACTATTAAATCGTTTTGGAAAAAGTTATGGCCAGATATACTCACCACTCCTAGCAACGTTCCACAAATCAGTGTTACGTCGGAAGTTATAGAACAAGTCGCTACTGAAACACAGATAAGTCCGGAAGATTTGTAAATCTGGTGCCGTGGAATGGATAAAGAGGAAAATGTTTTTCATGAAATTTCTGACGAAGAGATTAGAAAAGAGGTTTCTAATTATACAACAAACAATCAGGAAAATAACGACGACGTGATTGCAACTGCTCCACAAGTCACAGCACAAGACGCAATTAACGCCTTTGAACTAGGTCTACAATGGGCTGAAGAGAATGGTACATCCTACAACGAACTTTTACTTTTGAGAAGGCTGAGGGACAAAGCTCTGATTTCGCGTTATCACAACCTTAAACAAAAACAAATTGATGAATATTTCCAAGCTTCATAATTTGATAAATTCATTAATTATTTTGAGTAATAATTCTTGATTATTGTGGTACATATGTATGTGCATTTATGCTTAATTTTATAATAAAACGTAAGCTCTCTATTGTTATTTAATTTACTAAATTCGACATACATAAACTATGTATGATTTGTACTTCAAAGTACATACATATACATAACATATATAATCTTACTATTGGATACGTAATTTGTCGGATTACAAGTAACTCTTTTCTAAAAAATTCCGGACTATAGGGGGTCTTAGGCAGTGCTCTATAATCCGACAAATTCGATAGTCCGACACTGCCGTGCATAATGTTTGTCGGATTAACGGAGGTCCACTGTATACCTATCCATGAAACAAGAGACGTACGTTTTTTTTGATAATCCTATTTGTCAATATAATTCCCCCTACATCAGTGCACTTGCGCTATTTCTCCTCCAGTGAACTGATGCCTTATGCCTCTCAAAAAAGTCGCAGGTTGCTTTTGGGCCAACATCTGAGTCGAAACGGCGTCCTCGAAGATTTTTCTTTAGTAATCTAAGGAGATAAATGTCAGACGAAGCAGTCCGGACTGCAGGGAGGATAGTCTATCTCAACGAAGCTGATTTCGTGCACACTTTGACAGCCTTTATGCAGAGTCGCATTGCCATGCAGAAGAAATACCTCTGGATTGGAAAAATCGGGCCTTTTCTGGTTGATTGATTTGCGTAAATTTTTCAGTGTGTTCGCTTAGAGGTCCGCATTTATTGTTGTCTCTTTTGGCATATATTCAATGAGAAAGATATAACCCCGATGTCCAAAAAACGGTTGTCATCAATTTTCGAGCAGAGGGTTGAGCAGTGCAGGGGGTGAGGGGGGGTGGACGAGACCCTTTATGAACCCACTGCTTTTGTTCTCTTTTTGTATTAGGATCCCAACGAGGCAGCCAAGTATCGTCACCTTTCACAGTTTCAAAGTTTCCAAATGACTTTGAGGAAATTATTTTCTGCGTAATGTTTGCTCAGGGGACAACAGTCGTGGAACCCACCTTAATCATGTTCAAATTGTCGTGCAAGACGGTTCAGGTATATTCAATGCCATACCACAGTTTTGATAACAATCAGCTATGAAACTCTCCAGTCAGTGTCAAAAACGGCCGCCATTACAAACGATGAAAGAGGTTTTAGAGCTCAACAGCTCAAGTTGCCAAATTATCAGGAAATCGCATTAATGGTGTGCGTGATCCTTTTTATGCATACTAAATCTACTTTCTTTTGTTTGCAATACTAGGTAGGTGTGGAGTTAGAAGAGGAACAGTCTCATCTGCCTTTAATGTTGACAGATGGAGTGCATAATGGAGAAAGATATTTTAAGTGCTCTGAAAAAGGGCGCTATTCGTACCTTTGGACCAATGCAGTAAGGATTCAAGGTTTCAGGATGGAAATCCTACACCTGTCAGTCAGCCTTCTGCAGCTGAACACATCAAACCACTTGTAAGTATCTGAGCCATTCAAGTTAATCGTTGAACAGTAATACCTGGTGTACTGATATTTTTCTGTAGCTGAACCAACAAGATTTGTTCCCATTATAAACATCTACTATATTACAGAAACATCTCTTTTTCATAAATAATCAGAAATTGGAAATAGTATGGAATATTCCTAGATCCACACTTGCATTGGGATGTTCTTATTTCATATATTTCAAAAAATATTTGTCTCACATAAAATGAAATACCTCAAAAATATTCTAAAAGAGAAATACAGTTCTATTCATAAAAAAAGCGTACACGAATTAGAATGAGAGGAAACCTTAACCTTATTTGCGTAAAACCGGCTTGTCTAAATGATTGTTTATTGGAGGTTATCACACGTCGTAGATTGTCAAAAATGCAAAGCATTGACGTCGGTGTAATTCATTTCGAAAATGCGTGGTGGTAACGTTTGATAAACTTTGACAGAAGAAAATAAAATGCCTCGTCAGTTGTCTGAAGTTGAAAAGGCTCAAATTGTATCAAGAATCGAAGAAGGATGGTCAATCCGTGCTATAGCGCAGTTGTATAATAGCAATAAAAAAACCATATTGAAAATTAAGCAACGCTGGGAACAGGAAGATTCCCTAAAGAGGAAAATTGGTTCAGGTCGTCCCAAACTTACCAACCCTGAACAGGATGCTGCTTTTTTGGGATATTTAAGAAATAATCCATTTGCAACTGTAAGGGATGCTGTTATTGATACAGCATTTCCTGCCTCCCAACCTACCGCCAGCAGGAGAGTAATGAAATCTGAACTAAAATGTCTCCCTGCTGCGAAAAAAAAATGTTTCTTAACGAAGAACGGCGACAATCAAGGATTATTGTTGCTTTAAATTATATATACCGCAATCCTCAATTTTGGAACAGGGTCATTTTTACTGATGAAAAGACGTTCCAGTCGACTTATAACGGCCAAATTCGTGTTTACCGTCCAAACAATACCAGGTTTGAAGAGCGATATACTAACCCCCTCAATTCTAGACCTGGGCGTTCTCTGTAAATGTATGGGGCTGGATAAGTGTTCATGGACCTGGTGTTGCTGGCGAATAGAGGGAAGATTTAATGCCGGAAATTACATTAACATTTTAGAAAACATATTGTTACCAAGTGCTGAGCAAATATATCCCAATAATACGTTCATATTTCAACAAGATAATTGTCCAGTTCATACGGCCAATGCTGTAACCCACTGGTTCAAACCCATAATGTGGAAGTGCTGCCTTGGTCGCTTATAGTCCCGATATCAATCCAATCGAAATATTTGGGTATAATCGTAAAAAAAATATATAATCGAAATTTTAGGCCACAAAATTCAGAAGATTTATGGGAAATAATACATGCGTGCTGGGAAGAGCTTGATCCAAATATTGTATCAAATATAATTCAGTCAATTCCGAACAGACTGGCTCAAGTAGTAGAAAAACAGGGATATATGACCAAATATTAGATTTTATTTATTCTTGTTAATCGTTTTTTTGTTTCTATTGTAATTTTTATAAAACTGTTAAGATGTAAAATAAAGAATACATTTTTGTTACTGTATTGAACTATGCCCGACGCCCATGCTTTGCATTTTTAATAACCTTTAACATGCGATAAGCCGGTTTTACGCAAATAAGGTTAAGGTTTCCTCTCATTCTAATTCGTGTACGCTTTTTTATGAATACAACTGTACCTCCGTACCTTATACCATACCTTGATCGAACATTTACCAGTGGGAGAGTTCACATTTCAAATTTGAATTACGCGGCAACCGTATACGCGAGGAAGTGAGTAGCGGTCTTGATCGACGCGTTCGGCGTGCGGGTTAAATAGTCACAATGGAACGTTGGACCGGAGCGCAACGTGCTTTTGCTATCGAGGCTTACTTTCAGATGGTGATTCATACGCAGCTGCCCTTTGCAAATTATGTACACTATACAACATTCGCCGATCAAGAGATGCCTGCAAGCAAGAAAGTAGAAAACCTATTGAAAAATTGGACTAAGAGTCCGTGAAACACTTCTCTATTCTTAGTAAACCCATTCCTGGCCCCACACCTACTATATCAACCGAAGAAAATGTGCGTCAAGAAGTGATTTGGTCATTGCAAATCCTCGACGTTCTGTACGGAAGCATTCCGCTGCTTTGGGAATCCCTAGGTCACACTGGCATGGCATTATGAAGAAAAAAAATGGATTTTCATCCTTATAACGGGTGATTTTTTATGAGGTATAGGAATTTGATTTCAAAAAAAAACAAAAAATTTTAAAAAAACGATTAAATCTTTATTTGAGTCAATAGAACGGTCGATATAATTTAATGTTTAAAGATTATTTCATGTAAATGTTGGCCGCGGCTCCGCATTAGATGGCCCATGCGCAAGGTTCAATTTTGGCACACTCCTCTCCAACATATCGGCCGGTAATCTCACGAATAAATGCTTCAATATTGGCGTCCAGTGCGTCAATCGTTGCTGGTTTATCCCTGTAGACATTAGCCTTAACATGGCCCCACAAGAAATAGTCCAACGGCGTTAAATCACACGATCTAGGCGGCCAATTGACGGGCCCCAAACGTGAGATAAACTGTTCATCGAACTCGCCTCTCAATATGGCCTTTGTTTCGTGTGCGGTGTGGCATGTGGCACCATCTTGTTGAAACCACATGTCAGCCAAGTCTAGCTCTTCCATTTTGGGCAAAAAAAAGTTTGTTATCATCGCGCGGTAGCGCTCGCCATTCACAGTTACGTGCCGGCCATTGTCGTCTTTGAAGAAGTACGGCCCGATGATGCCACCGGCCCATAATCCACACCAAACAGTGATTTTTTCGGGATGCATTGGTAGCTCTTGCAATGCTTCTGGCTGGTCTTCACTCCAGATGCGGCAATTTTGCTTGTTAACGTACCCATTCAACCAGAAATGAGCTTCGTCGTGAACACAATTTTTCGATAAAAATGTGGATCTTCCTCCAACTTTGCCAGCGCCCATTCACCAAATGTGAAACGTTGTGGTAGGTCGTGTGGCTTCAATTCTTGCACCAGCTGTATCTTCAGTCCTCACTCTACGTCTGCGTGTTGGTGGTTTAATGTCCAATAATGTAAACTGGGTTCGGAATTTAGTCACAAGCTTCCGAATAGCTCCCTCAGTAGGCCGATCAAATTGCCTATAACTTGGCAGCAGTGCTCGATGCACTCTCTTAACCGAGCATGAATTTTGATAGTAAAATTCAATAATTTGCAAGCGTTGTTCGTTCGTAAGTCGATTCATGGTTAAATTATAGACCAAACTGAACAAGTTTGACAATGACACAAGACACGATTCACGCGTCATCTGTCAAAAACAGTGTTGCCAAAAAGATACTAGCAAAAAAATCACCCATTAAAATCCATTCAGTCCATGCGTTAAAGAAAAGTGATTACGTATTACGGAAATCTTGTGCAAAATTGTAGATATTGGGCACCAACGAACCCAAAACAGAAACATCAACAACAGCTACATAGTCCCAAACGTGACTGTTTGGCGCGCCGTATCCTCTAGCGGTATTATTGGGCCGTATTTCTTTGAAAATGAAAACGGTCATTGACAGACAATTCCGAGCGATACAAGGACATCTCCTATTGTAAGAACAGAACATCGTTTTAACATAAACACATGGTTTCAACAGGATGGGACCACTGCCCATACTTCCAGAGAATCGTTGGACACGCTGAAAGCACTTTTTCCTCAAAAAGTTATATCGAAGTTTGGGGACAATCACTGACTTCCTAGGTCACCCGACTTCACGCCATGCGATTATTTTTTGTGGGGTTGTCTAAAGTCAAAAGTGTATTCTAATAATCCACGAACACTGGAGGACTTTAAAGACAACATTCGGAACTCTGGAAGAGTGTTTCAGAATTAGCGCGCGCGACTAGAAAAGTGTGTCCCAAGGGATGGCAAACATTTGGACGGAATAATATTTAAGAAATAAAACCTGCCGATTTACGAATATGTTGATAGTGATAAATATTTTATTTTCATTAAGTTTGTATTTTTTTCTTAAATCAAAAAATGAACTTTCCCACATGGGGAGCTGCATGCTCAACTCATATTTATAATTTAGCAAAAATGATTCTAAAAGTAGTAATAAACATGTGTTCCACGGAACTTAATCGATTATTATTCTAGGAATGCCCTGTGATACCTGGAGCAGTAGCTCCTCTTTGCATGCCTACAGAAGAAGATGTGGAAGCAGTTTGTGGGAAATTTCGGGGAATCCAAGGACACCACAACTCGTGTTACTTGGATGTCACTCTTTTCTCCATGTTCACCTATACAGCAGTATTTGATAGTTTATTGTTCCGTCCTAAAAATAAGAATGATATAGATGATTATGAAGAGGTATGTCTATTTAAAAGTAATATAAAACAGCTTTAACTTTACCAAACACCACTGTAATTTAATACTTAGTTTTCATAAGAGTATTATTACACAGATGAAGCCTGTCATTTCTCAGCATTTTTATATTACTCTAACTACAACATAACATTAATCCAAGATTACAAAGTGAAAATTTACAAAATATCCCGCTCTAAATACCTCATGGCACAATCAATTTCGTTTCTTCATAGGTTCAACGGGTGTTGAAGGAAGAGATTGTCAACCCCCTCCGCAAAAACCTTTACGTAAGCGCGGATCACGTAATGAAACTCCGCAAACTTTTGGACAAGCTCAGTTCTGTATCCGGCCTAACGTGCGAAGAAAAAGACCCCGAGGAATTTCTAAATTCTTTGCTTGCTCAGATTCTTAAGGCGGAACCGTTTCTCAAGCTGAACTCCGGACAAGAGGCTTTCCACTATCAGCTGTTTGTGGAAAAAGATGCGGGTCTCAGTCTTCCTACAGTAAGTAGTATAATATTCTTTTTGTGTCTTTAAGCAACATCTGAATGCCAGAGTAACGTATCTATTAACAGGCTACAACTTGGAAAAATATGCCTCCCTACTCCATAAAAAGTATGGTAATTCCAATTCCAAATTTGTGAAAGTAGATATCACGGACTGACAAAAAGGGAAACATGAAAATTTTACTTAAATTGATCATAATCGCTCACATAATTCCCTGAATCGAAAGGAAAAAGATAGATAGTTAAATATGCCTTATTGTCTGACAACCAGTCTTATCTTTCTAATATTATTCTATACATAAGCATGCGCTTTTTTTTTTTTGTCAAAATCCACTGATTAAAACATTTCTGTGCTTCAAATGCTGTGCTTTTACAAATTAACATATTTATGTAATGTCATTTTGACGTAATTTCACTAGTCTAGTATTTTTATGGAATAGGGTCCAACAGTATTGTTTTTTTTTTTTTTGTGGAAAAAGTGAGTGAAATGATTACTTATCTGTAGGTGCAACAGTTATTTGAACAGAGCTTCCTCACCAGCAATATCAAACTGAAAGAGGTACCATCTTGTCTTATCATTCATATGCCAAGGTTTGGGAAGGACTACAAAATGTATCCAAGGATTTTGCCCTCTCAATTGTTAGATGTAACAGATATTATAGAAGGATGTGAGTATCATACCTATGGTAATTTTATTTCATATTTTTCAAAACATACGTGCAATTTTTGATAGTTTTCATAGTTTACTAGACTAGACCCACCGCTCCGCTTACGTGGAAGTAGAGTAAAGTATAGGTGAAGGAGATTGGTTTCAGAAAAAGGAATTCAATATTCAAAGTAATCCAATAGTTACTTTCACAATAAACATTTTAATGCAACAATAAATTAATTTCAATGCAACGCTTTTTTATAATAAACGTCTTTATTCGCCAAACAATAACAAATAAACTTTCATGAAAGAGAGAGTTTAGCGAAAGGCGATCCTCGACAAATTTAAGGAGTTTACTTGAAAATTTATCTGATCTTGAAGGCCATGGACAGGTTATACTTGGATATATTTGAAAAAAATTGACCGCAATTTTATTTCAGTAAATAAAAAAGGTGCTTCCCGTTAAACAATCATTTGATCTTCAAATAACCTTTATGGACATAGTCAAGGTCGAGGGCACACTTGAACATAAAGTTTCTTGCTCTTTTTATTTCTAGTTAGTCTAATCATATTAGCAAATTTCCCCGAAATAATTGTAAAGAGACCTACAGAACGAGACCACACGTAAAAAAGATCCTACTAACAGCAAAGCTGTTATGGCCGGAAAACGAGGCAAAATGCATGTTTTGGCACTTGTTGGTAATGCGACGATAATTTCACGCAACTACTTGAAATTCATCAAATCCGTAGGACTCATACTTCTATAACAACAAAACTGGTGTATAGTGGTAACGAATTTTTTTGAGAATATCTAATTGTTTATCCCAAAACGCCTGTTTTCCGGCCATCACTACTAGTTTATTGAGCAATATACAGGGTTCGTTCAAGGAGCATTTAATAGCAAAATACACGTGTTTACCTTGCCGATATGAATCACAAACCATTCCGAAAGATAAATGTTATTTTTATGCGAAAAACAAAGGTTACGTTTCTTTCTTCTAAACAAATTCAAACATTTCGTATTTTTTTTTTGGGTAACTGAACAAATGCGCTACGATATTCGAAAACATACGTTACTAAACACATTTTGAAACAAAGCGGATGTGTCTTATCATATTTTGTTGCGAATTACTCACAAATACGATATTTTTGGATTTGCTTAGAAGAAAAAACGCAACCCATCCTTTTTTGCATACAAATAACATTTATCTTCCGGAATGGTTTTCGATTTATATCGGCAAGGTAAACTTGTGTATTTTGCTATAAAATACCGTTTGAACTAACTCTGTATATTGCTCAATAATCTAGTAGTGATGACCGGAAAACAGGAGTTTTGAGATAAACAATTGAAGATTCTCAAAATACTTGACCAATCTACTCCAATTTTGTTGTGGTTATTTAGAAGTACGAATCCTACGAATTTGAAGAATTTTAAATAGTTTTTTCGTTCCTGTCAACACTTTCGATTGAATCCCAAAAACACGTTTTCTTATTCTTTGTTCTCTAATAAAAAGTTTTCCATAAAAATTGGTATACCCATTTTATGCGTTCATGTTTTGAATATCCTCTTGAACAACTTGCAACAATAAAACCTGACATTACAATTATTTCACAAACCGGTTGTATTTTCGTCGAATATGATTACACTAAGTGCCAAAAAGGAAATAGGAGTTTCCCTTTTAAAAAACTGTCTTAACCACCAAATGAGCTTGAAGGTCATAGTCAAGATCACGTTCAATAATGCCATTAGATGAATCTTTTCAAACCTCACAAGTTTATTAGACAATATTTTTCTTCATGAAAAGTATTTATCGAGATATTTTGTCCTTTCAGGAATACGTATTTCTTGAGATATTTTTATCTATCCATACTTTTTGAACATTCTCTATATTTTGGCGAATAAAAACATAACTTATAACCTTCCTTGAGTTCATTGTGTTAGACAGAGATATAAGCCAGCTGGATAGCACAGCTCGTTGCCTAGCGACCGCAACGCGGCAGATTCCACGACCTTCTGAGACACCGTTGCTAGGCAATGAGGCTCTTCAGCCGG